GATCCTATCCTGTGCAATTTTCTACAACAGACTACAGACCCTCATAAAACTAATCTTTATTGTCCCAGTTGCTAAAATTGGTGGGCTTGTAGCACAGAATGACAATCATTGTAATCCCTTCCTTCTTTCTTTGAAGGATGCTTTGATCCTTTCCGAAGTATAGCAAAAAGTGAGTATCCTTCAACAAAAATAACTTTGTTTTACAACAGAAAATACTTAACCCTTTTTGATGGCATCTGATTAAATTAACCAGCGAATACTATTACAATGTCTCAAATCATCATTAACAGATTAAGGAATTATTTCTCTAAAGGTTCGACGGAATTGCAAACTTGATAGTTTATATGATGAACTTATTTTAGCTAGTTGAACATCAAAAAGCGGAATGCACTGCACAACTGGATCTACTTGAAAGTAGGCTTCCACGAATTCACCATACATCGTGAGAAGCCCTTAAACTTCATACCACTGAACTGGCATCTAACGGTTTATATATCCATTATCGAGAAATCTCATTTATAGGACAAAACACCCGACAAATTCATTCTAGTTTTCAATAACTGTTCAATTAAGATTAGTCCGTAATATAAACTATAGGGTTAATAAATATTTGTCTTTATAATAAATGATCGACTAATTACTAAACATTATTCTGGCCATTCATATTAATCTTTTTAACTGTTGACTATTATCAAGCCCAATTTTTCATTGATGTTTGCTAGTGGAAGTAAAATATGATGAGTCGTTGAACATGGACAAATGGTCACAGACCACGGACTATTAAATATGTGATTTTTCTTCCTGTCATCAATTTCTTATCCTGACTCACTGAAGGTGACTGCTTGTAACTGTATTGAATAAAGTATTGTCTAGTGGTAATCTGGTTCTCTATTTTGCATCGTGAATCCTAGTTTTGATATAACATTACAGTTATATTCTAATGAAGAATAAATGAATGGAAACTGCTAGGAATTATTTATGGATTGTTATATATATCTTATTGTATAACTATCAAGTAACTAGATTATGTAAATTTCTTCTGTTATAAGCTTCCATTTAACGTTTTAGCTACTTCAATACGATTTACTATTGTTAACTTATTCCCGATTCGATAGTTACTGTCTCTCACACTCACAGCCACTTTTGGTTTGATCTTGTATAATTATTATCTCTATTTTATGGTGAAATGCGGTCTGCTTTGCTCGCATATAAATCAAGTAAGTCTGAAATATATGATTCATACAGTGGAAACTAAGATTGTGTTCTGGACTCAATAGGCAGGCCAAGATCAAAAGGATCAAGAAGGACTCAGAGTTTACTCTAGGCTGCTCGTGCTGTTTAACACGTCATTGGTTTGGAGATGTTCTGATTGGTGATCTTATCATGTGATATTTGACGGGGCATATGACATAACGGTGATTAGTTTTATTAACGTATTATGGTAATACACGCGAGAGCGATAAAATATTCTAAGCATCCATTATATCATTCATAATATTAGATTGGTAAACAGTTGTAATTTACGAAATTATGCATGTGACGTAATAAGGTTCCTTATATTTCTGATCCTTTACAAGATCTGGAGTTAACTATCAAACTATCGCAGTTATAGGCTATTGTTATCGAACAGAAATGAAGAGATTACTTAAACCAATAATTCGCTCACAAAATCAACAAAAACCTACGATGAAGTTTAGTGAATTTCGGTGGAGTTTTGTTCTCTGAGCTGGACGGTTTGGTCGTGGAGCTTTCATCGTTCTTCTGAATGAAATCATCAGCACAAAGTTCAGATAGAGGTGAATAGTTCGACTTTCTCCATATGTGTTTTACAGCTTGTTCTGTGCACCTCATCCAGAACAAAACTCCACCAATATCATCCACCTGAGCTACAAATCTTCTCCACCATCTCGGAGTTTAGTGAAATTATTTTCTTAACAATATGGTTACAGTAGAATGATTGTACTATTTTATACATCACCAATAACTTCATTATCTCAAATTTATTCAACGTTTCCGTTACAATCAAATGCCATTTTTTCAAAATCTTAAACAAGCTTATTTATGAAAAAAAAGATATTTTATTGACACATAGATTCAATTTGACATTGAATTCAATGCACTTGGAAAAGGTTTATTTAGTAATAAATATTTAAAGAAAATTGTTAATTAAGGTAATTTTAAAATCGACCTAGTGACAATTGTTGTATAATTTAACACATTTTCTTTTACACAGCTAATCATTCACCTCTGGTAAATTAAAATAATCGACCACAAGAGATCTCTCTATTACTTAGCAATACAAACATAAATTACCAATCAATCAAAAAATATGATCTAAATTGTAGTAAAAGAAAATTGACGTCATAGATAGGTACTTATTAAGAAATTATTAGTATTCTTGAAGAGTTGAGAATACAGAATTTACTGATGTCGTTAAATGTGAACAACCTTCAATAACAAATTGCATGAAGTTCTAAATCTAAATTTTTACAAAAATCCTCAGTTTGACTTTAGCTACTGGTTTGAAAAACTTAAAGAAAAAGCTATCGTTAACTTGGAAGTGTAATTATTCAATTTAAACTTAAATAATATCCAAATTAACAACCATTTTCGTGGTAGTAATTGTTCCATTTCAGTATGTGAAAGTTCAATTCTCAATTATAGGCAAAGGGTCTTCATATCCTTTCAACAAGAACTTTTAAACTAACTTATTCTAGATAGATAAGTGAATCTATTTACCTCCAGATGATCTGTACTATGTTTAGTGAAATTCGTATATACTCTAGATAAAACGTTGAACCTTATGTCTCACAATGAGTTAAACTAAAAACAAATGCATATAGGACTGTCAATGAAATTCTAACTAGAATGTTCACAACAACTCTTACGTTTCTCTGGAATCCAGAACATTTGTTGTAATTCAAATGTCAGTGTTAATCTGATTGCTTGACTCATTTGAATCTTACAAATTTTATGTTCTGTTTCTGAGTTTTGAACATGACGAATCTTTGTTACCTAGATTACTAATACCTATGTTCAACTTTCAGCAAGAATTTCTCTGGAAAGATATCTTTATGGTAGGGAGTTATTCATTATTTACTATTGATTGAGAGTGAGTGTTTAGTTCCAGTAGATAATGCCACAAAGTGTGCACATGGCTAATACAACCTTGTCAAGAATGTAGCACCAGTGTTTTCTCGGCTGTGAGAGGTCTATTGCTCAGATTATCAATTATTATTGGGACAGATATTGAATGAATCAATTTGGTAAAAAGTTTCTGAAAGATAAGCACTGGGGATTCCATTCATGGAATACGACCTCAAATAACGTTAAGTGTTATTAAAAGTCATGGGTTCAGCTGTGAATTTAAAGTAACATCATGTGATACAGGCATCATTGATGGAAGACGACAAAAAACCTGCCTAGACTTGAATTCAGCGGAGACAAGAGTTCTAAAGTCACTTTAAGACATGTTGATATTATGTTTCACAAGTATACATATTTATATTTACGTCAGTGGAAGAATCTGAACAAATCGCAGTCCAAAAAGTCAGGATGAGACGGAATTTTTTCATTGAGGTGATATCGAAAGTAACAGTAACGCTTATATCAAAATATGGAGCTTAAACCGTTACCAAATGGTATGTACATTTGTTTAATCAACAGAGAGATTTAAAATCACTAAAACTGAAATGCAAGAATGAACAATATGTTCAATATTTAGGACGTCTACGATTAACAAGCTAAACCTTGATACATTTTAGTTTTGCATAAGTTTAGTAGAGTAAAAGAATATATCAAAGAACTCCAATTTTTAAATCTATGAGAATACTGTAGCCAATTAATCATAAATTAAATAAGACCTTTGAAATTTCGAAAAATTCTCATATTCTGAATTAGAACAACGTGTATAAGCGAACATTATTGTTTTCAATTAGATCATCATCAGGTTATACTTTCATATACAGTAATATTTATATGCATATACGAAATTATTAAACTAATCAAGGCAGTTTATCAGTCAGTGATAACACTGTAATAGATAGCATAACTGATAACAAGTAAAAAGTATAGATTGATAGTGTGATGACAAGTGTACTAGTTGTGGTAATAATAACAAAGTCTTGAATCAAAGTTTCATAATAGGAAGTAAGTCAATGATTCGAAAAATGCAGACACTGAAATAACATTCATTAAATTATAAGATTACGAAGTACAAGTGCATTGAAGAGGACGTCTAATGCAGCTAACCTCTGTCTCTCATTCCCAAAGTGACCTATGGTGATTCCTTATCTAAAAGACAAGTTACCTGGTTTTGCTACATTCATGTGTATCTACGAATCCAGCTGCTACTGTGGAGAAAGCTATTTAGGCGCACAACTAGACAAATGAACCAATGAGTTAGTGAACGACTCCCTTTGTGGTTCGGAAAGGGAGTCGTCTAAACAATATCCAGCCCTGTTCTAGCACACATGGTCGATAGGGGTCATGTAGTAAACAGAAGTAGGTCACTTCAAATGATTTATCGTATTCCTTCTAGGGTTCGATTTCGCCTTCTGCACATAGCAGAAACCATAATGACTCAAGATAACAATCCAAGTCTTTATATTCTTAAGAAATCTGTTACATCCATGTCTCCTCCTTAGCCAAAATAGCCTTAATTAAAGAATCTATTTATTATTATTTTCCATACTTGTTATTTTTCCTGATACTCCCTCTTTTTCTTCAAATCTACGCCTCGTTTCCTGATTATTTAAACTCTTTTTATTACGTATTCTTATAAATCTTAAGGAACGTTAATTTAGTGTCTGCATTTTTTCAAATCATTGACTTACTTCCTATTATGAAACTTTGATTCAAGACTTTGTTATTATTACCACAACTAGTACACTTGTCATCACACTATCAATCTATACTTTTTACTTGTTATCAGTTATGCTATCTATTACAGTGTTATCACTGACTGATAAACTGCCTTGATTAGTTTAATAATTTCGTATATGCATATAAATATTACTGTATATGAAAGTAAAACCTGATGATGATCTAATTGAAAACAATAATGTTCGCTTATATATGTTTTTTGCAACAACAAAAAAAGAACTAACAAAATCTTTCAATTAGATAATTATTATGATTTGATAAACCCAATAGTTCATCCATTAAAACCGAATATTTTACACAAAAATGGTTAACTGACATCTTATCTTCAAAAAAAAAACTGTTGAAATTAGCCAATTACAAATTACAATGATGATTTATTCATTTACGTATTATTTAATTGAATATACAAAGAACAGTACAATTTCTGTATTGATAAGTAAAGAGAATAAAAAATAATAATGATACTTAGAAAAAGAGAACAAGTAATTCACAAATCTAACAATAAATATGTTAGTTCAACAAGACACAAAATCTACTGCCTTGATAAGATAGATAGATACATGGACAAGCATAGACAATCTATCAGAGTAACACAGATGTAACTACAAGCAAAACAAATGCTGACCTTTCAATGTATTAAAATTCTCTCTATTTGCTATTGATTTACTTTTATAATACAGGAAGACGATGGAAACAGAAATAAAATAATTTAATATCGAGAGATAATATGAGCAGTATAAACTTGAATAGATGCATAAATATGAAAACCATATACATATATATGATGAATATATTTGATCAAGTGGACACTTCACTATGAATAGATGATGGAGTCGCAGGAACCTCAATTTCTTGTCCGCTTATTACAGCAACCATGTCATGTTGAGAAGCTACAATATAAGTAAATTATAGAATAAATAGGTAAAAACCGGATTATATTATTTATAACATAAAGGTGTAAGATATCTAGGGAGGAGGGTATAAAATGAAACACTAAACAAAATTATAAGATAAAAAAGTGAATAGGTAAATGACAGATCTTAATAATGATTGTCTAAACGAAGAGAACAATAAGTAAATGATAGTCAGTCAGTTGCAACGTAGAAACTGGTACGTGTGTACGTCGACTCAAGTCGCCAAGCCCCACTAACACAGAGGGATAAAATTGTCAGGTCAAATCCTGGAAGAGTGGTGGTAGTAACCGTATCAATGGTAATAGAAAAGATTGGGCATCGGCGATAAGATTAGAGAGAATATAAATGACATAAAAGACTTATAAGAAATTTAGAAGCTGAGTTTGGGGAGTAAATGATAAACAGATTGAGAAAATCCCAACATGATTAAGATCTTATCAGAATTGATTTATCCACCCTACCTAAAATTAGGAACCTAATCAAAACATTGAGTACTCAGTGGTTCCATTGTCCTCGAAAATTATCTCAAAGAAATTGATCATCAAACACATATAGAGTAGTATCTTTTAGACTTGATGAGTATGTTAAAGTCGAGGAGTTACACATACAGAAATGCTGAAAAGTATACTCTCCCCTTTATAAGTAGTAATATATCTCTCACTGGCACTAGCAGGTTGGGAAAAAATAGCCAAATATTTCGTCTAAATCTCCATTCGATTATATCCAGTGTTAGGTAGATGTCAACAGAGACAAAACCAAACAGTATATTTTGATATTCGAATTTAGTGACAACAATCAATTCACCTGAAAAGGTTGGATGTTGCTAAGACTCTTCTCTATTCAATTCAACTTCCCTACTCCCATTTTAAAGTTACTCGATATTACTATTATATCTTTACAATTGACCTATTAAAGTATTTTTGATGTCTGTTGATTAAACTTATTTTGATGTTTTTTAATCTAAAGTCGTTAGTTGAATAATGAGAAACTATTGTTTCACTTTTCCTTTGATTCCTTATAGAACTATTCACTAAAATAGCACACACGTCACCATACGCTGGGAACCAGGACAAAAGGTTCGTCTTTCACTCTTGAGATTGTTAATATCATACCTCATTTGAAAGCGCACGAGAACTAGTTAAAGACTCTCAGATACCATTCTATTTCAGTGGTGAGTAATTCAATTATCTAATACCTTGTGATGTTTAAGCCATAAATACTTAAGTAAAATTGATATACAGTCGTTGATTAATCAGGAATTTAATCGAAATTATCATCAGACTATCAATGTTAAAAATTAGGGGTAATTGACCTAAGAGCATGATTCAAATGAAGTTGAGTTTGGTGAGCTCGTTGATTTTATCGTGAAACTTTCATTGACTTTTAAGGCACAATTAACACTCAATCTAAACAGAACTGAGGTATTACAATTGGCGAAGAGTTTAGTCAGTTGACAGTGAATTTGATAGACAGTTGGCAATAATTATATTGGTTGTCTAGGCATTAATGTTGATTATCTTCCCCTCTTGACATGATTCTTAACCTTAAAATTGTTAGTGATTTTTCTAATTCGGTGTATTTTAATGTGTTTGTTGGTTAGTCTGGATAAATTTCAATATAGTATCAGTTTCGAGAGGTATTCGACATCTGGTCACATACTATGTAAGAAAACATATGCATTGTTAGTTGAATTCCATTAAACTGTTGTTATTCCTAATAGAAAACCATAGTCAGTATAGTTGAAAATCAGTATGATTATTCCAAATATATCTACCATTTTATTTTCTTCAGAATCGCGGACAAATTAATACCTCTTCTGCTTCTTTTATTCCATTTTGCCACTAATTTTTCTCAATTTACTATTTTTATTGATATTATTGTTTTTAACCATCTTTTTCCTTTTAACTATGCCTAACATAAACAAACTGTGGTAATTTGAACTGACAAACATTTGTTTCCAATATGTTATCTCAATCAGTTGAGTTGTCTGTTTTAATCGCTGAAAAATTATTTGCTGGAGATTGTATGTGCTTACAACTTATATTATGTTGATAGGATAAAAAATAACGTAGGGTCTAATAATACACTATTTATTTTTCTATCTAGGTTTCTTTTGAGAAATTATGTGGCAAAGAAAATAATAAGAAAACTGGATTGTTATTCTTTCAGTATTTATCCAAGAGTTGTCTTATGGTATTTTTATCTAATATGAATTGTAAACTCCATGTTAACGCATCACTTATTACTAAGTATTTTATCGATCGAAACGAATAGTCAGTTAGCTGATACCGCCATTAGCAACGGGTGACAGTTATACATTTGATTGCATTAATAAAAATAAACCATTGGATGCTAATCGGTAGGCGGAAGGTTAAGTGCTCTACATAAAGCTCAAAGTTATAGGTTCGGTCTATGGTGGGGTTGTGAATACGCACTGATGAGGGGCCCCATACTGAAAAAACAGCGATCCAGTGATTTCTGTTTTTCAATTGTTGTCAAACTACTTTCAGGTTTGCAGTGGAGGTCCAACTAAGATTGGTTCATGATGGAAATTCTACAATCTTCACAAATCCCCCAATACTAATTACGAATAATTTCCTCAGTTTTGTAAGTGTTTTTGCATAGATTTCATTTTATATATGTGAACAGTAGCAAGTAATGGTGACTATCTATCGCATATTTTAAAGTTATAATTCAGGGTTTAAGAAAGTGAAATGTAAAACAAAAAAAGCGGATCTTATTACTATCGGAGCAGAAAATGTAATTGGTCCAATATCCTAATTTGATCTTAATGAGAATGTCAATCAGCATTCGTTTACGTAAGTGTATATTGTAGGTTACTCAGTAAATTATTATTTACTTCTTAGTAAAAGAAATACACCCATTAAGACATTAAATAAGAAAGATTAGTTCAGCGAAGAGTTCTCTTTTCGGCTAATTCATTTGCAAAGCTGTACAATCGCATATATATGTATACTTATTTTTACAGGATGATAATAATACTGATAATAAACTAATGTTATACATGGTGACAGTGAGGTTAAATAAACAAAGGTATTAGGAAATTTTTAAAACAAGGAAGGTTTAATAATCGTTTGATTGTTAATGGCTTGAGTATTCATCAAAAGATAGGGAAATTATCATTGGGAAACGATGGCTCAGCATGATAAGATAAAATGTTGAAATAGAGATGAAATGTAATCGGAATGATCGTGGAAATAAAAACAAACCAGTTGGGGGTAGAAGATTTAAGGGGAAGATGGAATGTGAAGCAGATGGCTGTAAAGGAAGAAGGGTATGAAAAGCGAGAAAAATTTTAATACATTAAGACAATGGTAGAAGAAGAGGTTGTATCAGTCTCCTTTGCATATACAATTCTGGTTTTTCCAGATGTATGGCTATTGCTTCGGCAATGCAAAGAGGATGCAGTCTAATTGTCTTCAGAAGACTTCTACTTATCTTGTAGATGACTTTGAACGCATATATATATGTATATATATATATATATATATATATATATATATATATATATATATATATATATATATATATATATATATATATATTTGCGATTGTACAGCATTGAAAATGAATTCCCCAAAAAGAGAACTATTCGCTGAACTAATCTTTCTTATTATTTATTTATTATTAATGGCTTTGTACAATATTATATTTTCGTTACAATATAAAATTCTCAGCACAAACGGATCAGCATTATGATTACTGAGTTACGTTTATTTGTGTTGTCAATGGAAGGAGGATTATTTATTTCTAAAGAGATTGCAAATAATGATTATGATAAAATAGTACATATGCATAGCATACTATAAATACATAGCATGAAACATTATACAGTGATAATAATAAAAATAAAATGTACCTTGAATAGCTCTATGAACATCATTCTTAGCTTTAACCAAATACAAAGTAACCATAAGAAATAAAAAACCACCTAGAGCACAAACAAACGCAGTTAGAAATAATGCTCTTTGTAAGCCTAAATATTGTGTTTCTAATGAATGCAGATCTGTAAAAGCTACTGCAATCTGAAATGAAAAATAAAAATGAGGAAAAACATAAGTCTTATTCAATCTTTATTTATTACTTAAGAATATTGAATAATCACAATAATATAGAAGAGAAATATATTATTCCAACCAGATATTCACAGGAAAAAAACTATTAAACCACCAGTAAACAAATAAGAATTGTATAGCATTATGATTTCTAATTACTCGAGACTGAGATAGTTGGACCACGTGTTACGTATGCCTGAATACCGATTACCACGACGTGCAATGCTATCCGGTATTGGAGATGGTTGGAAGAGAATTAGGGGCGGCCAAACCAAAACGTGGCATCAGTGCTTGAAGTCACTAACTTCTAGTCTGAGCCATGTTGGTAGATGCAGACTACTTGGTTGGGGTCCGCGTGACTATCGTAACCAATGGTTGGAGACTCTTGGTGACATGACTCAGAATCGATCACAATGGCGTCGGTGTATACACTCCCTGTCTTCCCTTAAACTAAGAGATTAAAATCGCTTCATATCTTTCTTTCTACGAACCAATTCTTTCTTCTTGTACTATATCCTTATTGCAATCTTCCTCTTATATATTACCACCTTTGACATAACCACTGCTATGAATCCGGTGTTCATCTTGTTGTGCTGATGCGGTATGGCAACCTGGACCGATGCACATATGTGCTTGGTCCTACGTTGTAGCTGACTGACTGACTGAATTACTCGAGACCTCCTCAGTTTTCTTTAAGAAAAATAATAGGGTATATGAAACGACTTAGTTTAAACAAGGTATGTTTACTAACTAGTGAGCAGATATTGACTTTATGAAATGGCTACCATAATTTTTTTATTCTATAACCAATAATTGATCTCGTTGCCTGACACGTTCAATTGTCCTGTCAAACACTGAAGGGTGTAACAGGTGAACAAGTAATATTTTTGAACCAATACTATGTATACTCTCATGTGCCAAATTGATAATGTTTATTTTAAAAAAAGCAAGTAGCACCAAATAATGTTATTCTAGCGGTTTGGTACACAGTGACGATTCACAACTGAGATGCCCTACTTCTAAATCTTACTGACTAATCTTTCTTAGTCGATTACAATACTGTCTGATAAACAGACATTTTCATAGGGCACCTCATTAACTTATTTCTTATGGAGTAAAAGAATTGGTGACTTTTATTTGTAAGGGTTTGTTAGTAGTTCATAGAGGACTGTAGTGGGTCAGTCTGTTAAAATAAATCAATATTTAGCAGATTAACTCAATAGTGCCATTTAATCATTATTTTTAAGTAAAGTTGGATAGTGGCTAACAGTGAAAACTACGATGCACGTTTTGTTGGTTAGATACATCTACATCCCAGTGGGAATGGAGCAGTAGAAAAATATCTTAGTCTTTTACGTTAATATATATAAAGTTAGATCTAGTGTTTGTGGCATTACGAAACAAGAGAATATCACTTACCCGACCAACAATAGCCGGACTGATGGCATCTCCTAGTGCATGACTCATAACCATTTGAAGAGCAGATGCTGTCGAACGTCGAGTAGGAATAACTACTCCCTAAAGGAAAATAGTGCCAAATTAAATGAATTACTGCTATGAACTGATCAAATAATACATTACTTTGAATTATACTCTAATAGTACACAGTGATAGAAAGAGAAAAAAAACAAAAAACGAAGGAGACATTTGTATATGCTTTTTATATACACTGAGAACGATTGATAAGAGGGCAAGTAACCACGTTTTTCAAAATGTTGGTAAGATACTTCACATATCAATAATAATAACCAAGTTAAAACATTTGAGGAATTCAAAATAATACTTGATGAATATTTCAACTGAGCGTTTTGACAATGAGTTTGAGGGATATACAATACTAAACAAATAAGTGTTGGACAATTTTTCCCCGATCGAAGCTGCTACCTTGACGCGGTGGTCGGGCTTGCCTATCGTGATGACCCAACCGAGCTATATTGGCTGGAACATATGTTCCTGCAGGTTCTACCATGCCAGGCAGGTCGATTGGTTAACGGTAAGACTAAAACCAGCAACTCAAGGTCTGAGGGCGAAGTCGTACTGCTGACTGTACAGAGGTGTGACAGCAGTAAGGTGTTTCCTTCAGACAACCAGCATGACAGTGATGCTGCCTTCCCACAAGGAGGGGTCGGGTTAGAAAAGGTCGACCCTAAAAATGTCACATCTCACCTTACCTTACGGATTTCCGTCTCCGGCGGTAAGGCCCTTTGAAGGACGGAGCTAACACGTCAAAAACCTCCCACAAAAAGGCCGTGCGCGACCGGCCTCAAGCAGTTGTCCCTTGGGCTCTGCGATCACGCTCCCAGGTCGTCAAGACCAACATTAATCCAATTTCCTTTTCAGGTTCCTCAAGAAATACCCTTCCACGGTGTGGGCAGCCGGGAAGTGACACCACCCCTCATACCCGTAACAGCACAAGAGACCAAGGTGGTCACATTCAAATCCTTCCTACACCTTCTAATACCTCTCTTATCTCCCCGACTAACCCTCCTCAAGTCTCTTTATCACCTCGCACCGCTAGGGCAAACGATTCGAGTACGTGGAACGCTATTCCTGGTCTCCTGAAACCACGCTCTAAACTACACGTAGGAGCTTTTAACGTCCGAACACTGTGCTAAATAGGACAGCAGGCTTCCTTAGCTAAAACTTTAAAATCTCGCGCCATCGATGTGTGCTGCGTCTCCAAAACGCACATACAGGATCCAAGTAGCGTCATTCATTTGACCTCACCATGCCTAAATAAAGAACCGACTCGATTTACGCTTCGTGTATCTGGAAGCCCTGATTCTGCTTCCCGTGGTCTCGCCGGCGTAGGTATAGCATTGAGTCCCAGGGCAGAACTAGCTCTCTTAGAATGGATCCCAGTAGACAGTCGTTTGTGCGCTGTCCGACTGAACGGAACAGTAAGGATCCGGAAAGATAGGGACACTCGTCGTTGCCTCTTCGTCGTCTATGCCTATTCTCCCACTGACTGCAGCTCAGATGATGTAAAAGATGAGTTTTACAGAAAGCTTTCGGACCTTCGCCGAAAAGCTAGGCGCTCTGATGTAGTAATAGTGGCCGGTGACTTTAATGCTCAAGTAGGTAAACTAAGCGATAGGGAAAGACACCTAGGTGGATCTTATGGTGTCGTAGCTCAAAGAACAGATAATAGCGACCGTCTGTTGCAGCTATGCTCAGATAACCGCCTGTTCCTTGCAAATACTAACTTTAAGCATAAGGAAAAACATCTTTTGACATGGCGACCCCCTAATTCATCCCAACGTTGGACTCAAATAGATCACATCGCTATCAGCCACCGATGGAGGGGCTCGATAGAAGACTGTCGCTCATTCTGGAGCACATGCCTTGATTCAGATCATGCTGTAGTGCGAGCGCGTATTTGCTTGCGTCTTACTGGACGTAGGAAAGACGTTGCAAGGAAACCTCTTAGGGGCCTACTTAATGATAGTCAAGCTAAGAGTATATTTCAGGAACAACTAGAAAAACAGTTAGGCAGCCATGTATGTGATGCCCACCCCGATGCAGCATGGAATGATATCCGAAAAGCTGTAGAAACAGCAGTGATATCTGCTAGTAAGGTAAACCAGAATGTTAGGGAGCAACACTAGATCTCAGCAGCATCTATCTCACTGATAGATGCTCGGAAACTCATTCCACCTGGCTCTGAACATAATGAGGAGCGGAGTCTGCTTAAGCGCAAGCTGACAAGAAGTCTAAGCAATGATCGTGAACAGTGGTGGGTAGCGAAAGCAAGAGAGATGGAAAAGGCAGCGGCAATAGGTAATAGCAGACAATTGTTCAGACTCGTTAAGGAAACCGGTATTAGGAAACCAACTGTTAGCGAAACACTCTCAGAGAAAGATGGACATATTATTCATTCTCAATCCAGGAGATTGGATCGATGGGCAGAACACTTTAGGGATCAGTTTAACTGGCCTTCAGCTACACTTCGGTTTCCTACGATTTCCAGTCAACCTGAATGGCAAGTTAATGTAGGTCCTCCATCTCTTTATGAAGTTGAGAAAGCTATAGGAAATCTGAAGCGAGGAAGAGAAGCAGGCCCTGACGGGTTTACTCTTGAGATTTTTAAGAATGGTGGTCCAGTATTAGCAATGAGATTAACTGAGGTCTTAGGTAGAATTTGGGATCTGGACGTAATCCCATCTGACTGGTCTCAATCACTGATTGTGCCAGTCTATAAGAAAGGACAAAAGTACTCTTGTGACAATCACAGAGGAATCAGTTTGACTAATATAGTGTTTAAAATATTAGCTTCAATAATACTTCAACACCTAATCAAAGCTCGTGAAGAGCAGATTAGAGAAAACCAGGCCGGTTTTCGACCTGACGTGGTTGTATAGATCAGATATTCACACTACGTCAGGTTCTAGAACACAGACACACATTCAGACGCCCCACTATCGTAGTATTTCTCGACCTTAAGGCGGCATTCGACTCTGTTGATCGTGAGGTTCTATGGCAGTGTTTGTCACTGAAAGGAGTACCAAAGAAGTACATTAACCTTATAAAGGCTCTCTACTCGAACACAACTGGTAGAGTAAGAGCTTATGGAGAACTGTCATCAGAATTGATTACCTCAAGTGGTGTTCGTCAGGGCTGTCCACTCTCCCCATTCTTGTTCAACTTTGTGGTCGACGTACTTTTAGAGATAACACTCTCCTCATCTAAATTTCCAGGGGTTGAACTTGTACCGGGAGGTTCACTTGTTGACTTAGAATATGCAGATGACATAATTTTATTTGGTGAAGACGCTGACAAAATTCAGAGTCTTCTGACCACTCTAAGCAACAATGCAAGCATGTTTGGCATGAGACTCTCCCCACCGAAATGCAAAATGTTGCTTCAGGATTGGGTTGCATCGACACCCGAACTAATTATAGGGAGTGAAGTAGTTGAGTGTGTCGACCGCTTTACTCATCTTGGAAGTCTCATCAGCCCTTGTGGTCTGGTGTGTGACGAAATCTTAGCACGGATACAGAAGGCTCGACTAGCTTTTGCCAACTTGCGTCATTTATGGCGTAGGCGAGGTATCCGTCTATCAACCAAAGGACGTGTTCACTGCTCAGCAGTTCGTTCCGTCCTACTTTATGGCAGTGAAACATGGCCGGTAAGAGTAGAGGATATTCGTAGGTTACTAGTATTTGATCATAGGTGTCTTCGAAACATTGCTCGTATATCATGGGACCATCGAGTAAGTAACGCATTTGTTAGGAAACGGGTACTAGGTAAGGATGGCAAATCAATTGATGAAGTAGTGAAACTTCATCAGTTGAGATGGCTGGGACACCTGTTACGTATGCCCAACGACCGACTACCTCGACGTGCTATGTTCAGTGGTATAGGAGTAGGTTGGAAGAAAGCTAGGGGCGGCCAAACCAAAACATGGCACAAGTCCATGAAGTCACTGACAAGTGAACTGAGTCATGTTGATAGGTGTATACTACCTGGTTGGGGACTGCGAGATGATAGCAACTGATGGTTAGAGACCCTGAATGACATGGCTCAAAATCGTTTGCAATGGCACAGGTGCATCCACTCTCTGCGTTCTCCAAAATTCTAATCTTCTGAATTCTTCATGTCCCTTTTTTCCTCTTTCCAAATTTATTTCACTGAATTATACTCTTTAAATAACATCTCCAAACCATAATCTTCCCGATTACTGCTTATACTCTTATTACCTCTACCACTACGGGATTTGAATCGACAACTGCATCTCTGTGCTAATATGGTGTGGCAACTCGAACTGATGTACGTACGTAAGAAGTTCTACGTTGTTACTGACTGACTGACTGAGACAATTTTTCAGAAATTTTATCTGATATGGGTATTGATGTGAGCACATCAGAATCAGTATACCTATTCAAACAATTTCAATAGTCGAATATGTCATTTAGAACTGTGAAACATATCAAAATTATATGAAGCAATAATACTGTACGCTTATTATTATTGACAGTGGACTTGTTACAATGTATCACGATAGAAGGATTAGTTGACGAATATTTTACTCGAATAAGCAGTTTCTTTGCAATTCCCATCGTAAACGAATGATGAACTGAGGAAATTTGTGATTAAATTCTCCCAATTAATACATATCGTTTCGCATTCGCTATAACGGTTGGTTAAGAAATCGACTAGCCAAAAATCATAAAGTAATACAAATCAAACTAGTGATTAGTATCTTTATCTGTTGACAGACAAGCAGGAATCTAGACTGTGCCACAGGTTGCACAACCTGATGGGAACTTCGTGTTTTTCTGAAGAGATTTTATTAGCCGTCAACCTAATGGGACTGATGAAACCTTAAAGATTTATTTATCTGAGAAATATAAGGCCACAATTCATATAGGAAGCTAGTTCGACTATTTATTTACTTACTGATATTTCAATAAGCTTGGTAAAATATGAATCAATAAATTAAGCTCAACCAAAAGACAATTGTCAAGGAGTAAAAATAGAGGAAAACAGTATGATAACAAGAATAAAAACATTCCAAAGATGCAGTCCAGACAAGAGTATGTAGCATCAGTGAAATGTTACTAGGACCTAGTCAAGTAACCCATTAAATTAAACTGTCCTGTTGCTAGATGACTGGTTAGTGAGTGCTGAACAATTTACCAACTATCGTCAAGGTTAAAGATGACTAGCCAATGTTGATCATATGGACGCTATGCATAGGATCCAAGTGGTAGTGTATCCATACTTTATTCTTCTTTAATTTGTTTTATCAAGTAAATTAAATCACTTAGGTAAGAATTTTGCTTGATCTTTACAATCACCGAGAAACCTTCACTGCCTAGGAGTGACTCCAATGTAAGTCAGGTTACACCATTGCCGTTCGACTTGAGTAGACCCACGGCCAATATTAGTGATCTAAAATCATAAATGACAAGTTTTTTGTCCATGAAGAGGCCAATAATAAGGGAGTCCTAAAAAGGACTACTACGACAGTATACGAACTACACAAGATGTGTGAAAATTCTGGGAATCAGCTTATAATTCATGCACTCTTCTAAGGGTTTTATCACTTCTCACTAAGTGAAGCTGTATATGATATCTAAAATATATCACTAAAAGTAGACATCTGTCTTAGAAAGATATCTGTGTAAATATTGGCAACTGAATTTTATAAGTATCAAACATATTTGATTGGATAGCCTACATAATCAAGTGTAACGTTGAGATCACATTTAAATTAATTTGTAACTTCACTAGTGTGATTCCGAACGTTAACCGAAGTTATAGACTTAACAGCTGAACTAGAGACGTATCAGTAAATATAGATAAAAAACATGGCATTAAGCAAGCCATTGACATTGTAAGAAGGATATATACATACTCAAAGTAGGAAGATAAATAAAAACTATTCGTATATTTTTTGAAGGTCACTCATTTAAATGATCTATTTTTCGTTTCCAACTATTAATAGGATGTATAATAAACAACTAATCAATACTTACCATAGTCATATCAGTCACAAGGGCCCATGTGATGCATAGAAGAAATTCGACGATGAAAACAAGAACCTGCAAAATCAAAGCAAAGAAGAGATTTGAATTAAATGGTCTAACATCAAGCACAAACTTAATAATTAAAAAAACATAAAAATATGACACAAAACAGTTTTCTCGTATTTGGTTCTTCTTGATCAGACTGTTGATTTGTATGTTATCACTTTCTTTTAAAAGCTAATCTTTTGAACACTCATTCTTTCAGGATATCGTATCAGTTGAGCGAATTCAAAGTAGTGTTCAGGAATTTATTGATGAACACATTTGCAAGTATAGTGTCATTAAATATAGAATAATAATACAACGTTCTCAGGTGACCACTCAAAGAGTTTTACTCAGATACATTATGTTTAAAAGATTTACAGTATGTCAGTTTAGTATATTTTGGTTTTAAAAGCTTGTAAATCTCATCTAGGCGTACTTTTCCATGGTTCGAAACATTCACTGACAGAACAGTCTAAAACTATGAAAAGCTAGGGGTAACTACGACGAAGTTTTCCTATTTCCTCCGAAGCACTTTTAGTCAAACATCGTATATATAGCTGATTGTGAACCTCAAAATGTATTGAACTAACTGGGCAGTCATATCTTTTATTTGAAAAATATTCCTTATTAACAACTGAAGTTCCAAATAAATGAAAAGTACAGAAATTGATTATCGAAACTAGTAGAGATTTTTAAAAAAAATTTATCTATAATTAATACATCCCATATTCAAAAATAAAGTTGTAGTTGTCTTTAAGCAAACCACAGATTGATAACAATGAAATGTTCGGAAGAGGATGAGAACCATAAAAATTTCAGAAGTGAGGTCATCGAAGTTTTATTTCTCTTAGTTTTAGCCGTGGCCTCAGATAATGATATTGTCGCTTAATACACTTCCTGATAAATTAATATCTAAATTCAGAAGAATTGTACACTACTCAATAATTAAAATGTGAAGTGTATTATTACATGCAAGATTCTCGGTTAGAAGAGCAACTAATATCTTCGTAAAGCACTGATAGCTCTTTATGTGAACCGTCCAGAACAGAGAATAATACTATTTATTTATTTATATTTATTTCAACACATAAACATTGGTACAAGGAGGCACCAAACAGATGTGCGCCACTGATATATATATATATATATATATATATTTGCACACAGTGTGTTTTAGTGTCAATGTAATTACCATACAATCTGGTATACTAAGCTGAGGGGCAGGCTTATGTATGAATTAAGGTCGCCACTAGACTGATTAAGATGCGAAATCATCTCACAACAACCACTAGGAATCAAGTATTCGTGTAGTGCAGTCATAATTAATCAAATAAACAATAAATACGATTTCAGAGATGAGATTTATTTGACCTACAAACTTTATTAAAAAAGCAAGTTTACTTACGGACGGTTGAGTTAAGGTATGATTAAGAAGTAGACCGGTATTTATCGTTTATTAGAAGTCTAGTAGATTTAACTTACTGACATGATGTCAAAGAGTAACATTTTTAAATTAACTATGCATAAAGTAACCGTAAATTATAATAAATATTCGCTAAACAAGATTTGGTTGGTAATCTGTCTTAATATACTTTTGATTAGTGCTTCAGAAGATAAGTTACCAAGATTTCGGTCAATTTTAATCCCAGTATTTGTGAAAACATAACTTACAATGCATACATAGAAATTCCAGGATGGAGACACCAGAGCAAAGAATAAGAATGGAGCACATATAAAAAGACTTGCAGAACAAACATAGGCGTCTGCCGCAGGAACCCATCGACGTAAATAACGACCTAGTTTTGCACCAGATAAGACTCCAAAAATACCCGCAAGACATGTTGAAGCTCCAACAACAATGGGAATACTTTAAAAAAAAAGAAAAATGCACAGATAATTGATAAATGGCGGCTATAAAATACTGAATATATTAGTTAACATATAATTCTTGAGAACGTATATACAGATTTTAACCACTACGTCCACTTGAAAGGTTAAAATCTAAGTGCTAGTTATCATTAGATCTATAAACATATGACGCTGCTTGCGCACATAATTTGATGATCGGGCTTTGGTTATTTGAGGCAGATATACTGATAGCAGGTGGAATACATGTTGAAGTACAGAAATGTTTGACTCCTAGCAATATCAATGACTGCAAAACTTTCTTAGTATCAGCTTTCTAGAGAAATGGACATCACCTAGAAGGAAAACTCAGTGTTTAAAATACCAAAACGAGTAAGATACTTCATGGAACCTAAATTTGACTGCCATATAAACAAAAGTAATTAGAAAGCACATAAAAAGTTTGTAATTATTAAGCATGAACATTTATTGTAAACAGCTATAGTTCCAAATAAATAAATAAAAACCTTCAATGATTCTCCACACTAGAGTTCGCCAAACATAATCGAGACCGACGTTCTAATTGCTTATCGCGGATTTAGTAATTGGATAATAACTGACATAGAATTCTAGTGCAAAAATTACCAAAGTAAAGTTTCGGTTTTTTCAAAATAACGATATACCAACTTTTGGTTATTAAAATGTTTAACTACATGGATTTATTCATGTGATCATGTTTGAAATAATTAGTAAAAATCAAATTAATCGTTAAGAACAAAATAAGACTTGCTTGTAATTCCTCCAGGCAGAAGGATCATCGTTTATTGCATTCAATGCTGACTGGATTAGATCAATCGCGAACCAGGAAAGTGAACCCAAAACAAAACAGACACATGTATATCCACAGCTAATAAACATAAAGGCTTGATTAGATAGTAGGGACTTTATATCTAGCCACCACGAAGTGGTACGCATGTGCGAACCTCCCTCTGCTTCACCACGAGGCGGATCTGAATGCAAAACACTCAGTAAAATTATACAAAGCAAGCCCAAAATCGGTGTAATTCGTAAAGACCATTGCCAAGATCCTGTCAGACGAGTTATTTCTGAACCAACTATGAAACCTAGTCCGCTAAAAAACACAACCAAATTAAAGGGTTGAACATCAAGAACGACCAGACGACTTAGTAGCATTTAAATATCCAGAAATTAAGATGAAATGAGGAAAAAGAGATTATTGTTAAATTGAAAACTTGTTGTACAAAGTTTATACACAAATCGGATGTGTATGTTCATTCATATAATACGCGAAAAATCAAATGTTGACTATTGTCACTAAGCAATAACTGCTGTTATTAAACTCTAAATAAATATGACTTTTAAATGTCCCCATAAAAAGAATAAAACAACAATCGAAACTAAGTTATATAGCACATAATCACAACTAATATTACCTTCCAACAGGTGCTGCAAAGTAAAAGAGACCTAAAACTTTGGTTCTTGCATTCCCCATAAACAAGTCAGATAGGATTGTTGGAGCCAATGTGGAATAGCTGGCTTCACCGATTCCAACAAAACAGCGAGTAGCTAAAAATAAGCTGAATAGCTAAAAGCATTATAACTATATCATCGTACATGAGCAGGAACGAAAGAACTCGCCAAAGTGACGATTATCCAAATCGACAGACCAATCTGCATGATTCGTTTTCTTTTCCAACGATCACCAAGATAACCAGCAATAGGACTAAGAATAGTGTAGAATACAAAAAACATGGTCTGCAGCTGGCCTAGTTTTGAGTCGTTTATTTTGTAGTAGCTTTTTACATTCTCGGGAACTCCTGATTAAAAATAAATATTGAGATTAAACCAGTATTACCAGCGATCGTAAATCTGTCCATGTAATTCAAAACATTTATGAGAATAAAAATGAAAACGGTAATTGTCTTGCTCTTTGATGAAACCACACAGTCTGACAATCCGCTACTGCTTCCATACTTAACAGGACGGTCCCAGGACCTACCCGAAGGGTGGCTAGCCCCAAGGTCACTCATAAGGCATTTAAATTGTGGGGCTAAATGGTTCAGTCGGTTGTGGACGGAATAGAAGAAGCTTTCGCTTAACAGGCTTCTGTGTCTAGTATCAGGGGATCACCAAAACATCCAGGCAGGAACCTGTGTATGTTAACAACAAAAGAGGAAAAGAAATTGGTAAATCATAGTATGATACTATCCTTAAGAGTGAACTTATCCGCAACGCAACCATGTAAACTTAATGTATCGCCCAGGGTCATCTATGCGTTCAAATAACCACAGATTTTGTCATTTCATAATGTATTTTTAATTAAATAACTAGATTGTGTAGTTAATTTTGCTCTGTTTCCAATTTTTATTCGCCACGTCCGAATGCGTTACACTGAACGTCCATTGCACTCTGGGATGATGTCTCAAGTCATAGTGAGTTTATTCACATAGTTGATTGTTTCCAGATAGACTGTCAGTGCATGATTTTACTGAAGAAAGGTTTGTTGTACTGTAAACTATGTTTTTATGAACAACTGGCTGTTGTCTTCAGTATGAAAGCAGTCTATATGTATCCTTCTTTTTTCTTAGGTAAGTTCAACTGGCCTATATTTCGTGTTTTGGTTTTATCGGCTTATTTATGTCCATTTGACTACTTTGAGCAACATGTTTGTGCAAATGAAACAATAACAATGACACTTGCTTAGTTTAGTGTTCTTGGTTGTCGTATAATTCAGTTTAGTTGAAAGAATTATGATATACTTATGTATAGTGATTGAAGCCTGCAACGAAACAGATCAGTTTAGTAAGTAGAGTTGCCTGTTTCCAATGTGTATACGGATTCAGATCAGTCTGATTAAAAATAGGAAAAAACGTGCCTTTGATGCTGTCGCTGTCATACATTTGTAGTGACTCACATTTATCACGAGAACACGACTGGTTTAATAAAAACAATTATTATTATAACCAACTGTACCAGTGTTTGTTTTAACGCGCTTTTGTTTGACTGTGCTAATGACAGCTATTTTGTGCTTCCATTCTTTTACTTACACTTTGATTGTAACTTCGCGCGAATTCGGTTACGTTCTGTAACCAAGCTTGTATCCTGGCACGATCTCGGTATCCTTTCGATGCCACGAGATCGCCAGCTAATAAACCTCGACTTGGTCCATTAATTGCCTTCTGATATTTGGCTTCTCGGGGATTTTATGGATCTATTTGGTTACGTTCAACCTACGCCTTCTGATTTATTTGGCACATGTTTCTTGGTAGCGGTGTTCATAGTAAATCTCAACGGGACGCCACGCTACACATTATAAGATAGCTATAAGTATGTTTGGTGTTTATTTCCAATCTGTACATCTATCACTGACCATATTTCATGATCACTGTCATTAAACTATTTCCGCAGCAACAACATCGGTAGCAAGATAGCTAAGTTTCTGAGCTTTTAGTTGCCCGCAAAACAGGAGAATAGTCTTAGAAGATGAGTGTTCTGTTTCTCAATTCAATGCAGCTGGCTGTGGACAAATGTTAAGAATCTTTTTGACAACTGGGACTTTTAGTTTATCAAACACTAACTCTGCTTGTATGTCTTCCTGTTAAACTAGACGCAGATGCATGGGAATACTTAAATTGAAGCAAAATAATAAAAGCATTGCGATACGGTACTAAGCCCATGTTATGTTTGGCACAAGTAATAGTAGATGACCTGATCTAATATTCATGAACTCAAGGTAAATTACAACTGCACAAATTCTGCTAAAAAACATGCAATTTGGTTATTTATCTGTTCCAACGCAACAGGAGTGAGTCTTCACTGATCCTAAAACCTGTTTCGCCCATAAAACTATGGCCCTATGGAACTGTTTACGAGAGACCCAACTAATAGCAAATTATCAAAAGGATGCTTGATGTCCATTTTAGTCTCACAACTACTTCCAGTACTTAATGAGTTACTTCTTTTACCCTTTTGTTTGGAAAAAACAACAAAAACTGCAGCTTAACATTACCAATGCAACTTTTAAACAGGAACTTGGTTTATATCTTTGTTTGATATTCCATTCTTAATGAAAGTTCTTGAATAAATTTTTGAATCTAATGCTACTTTGTTTTATCTACTTAATCGTCACAAGAAACTTCTGATAAGCGAGCCTCTCAGCACCTAGTTCATGTGTTCAAATGGTCGTAGACTGAATGGAAGGAGCTTTCGCTTAACAGGCTTCTGCGTCTAGTAGCAGGGGATCACGAATACCTCCAGGCAGGAACCTAGGTATGTTAACAATGAAAAAGGAAAAAGAAATTGGTAAATCATAGTACAATACTATCCTTAATCCTTAAGAATAGATCAAGTTGACTCCTAAAGGACTTCTGGGAAATCGCTTGGACTAGCTCGGCCGACAGCGAATTCCAGCATCTGAAAACTCGTAAGGAGTAGAAGTTTTGTCTACAGTCCGTTCTGCTTTAATGTGTCTCCAATTTCTGGGTGTTACCCCTTAAGTTTGTATTGGGACTAAGCTTAAGTACGTGTTTAAGGGGATGCTCAGAAGTGTGAAGGATACTGTAAGCCATCAGAAGGTCACATCTAAGACGCCTATACTCCAGTGAGTAAAGGTCAAGTGATTGGAGGCGCTCTTTATAAGGTTTAAATTTGAATCCTCGAACCCATTTCGTGGTTCGCCGTTGGATACGCTCCAGAGTGCCCTTATCCTTTCGGAGTGAGAGAGGAAATACTATGTTTCTGTACTCTAAATGGGGTCGGATAAAACTATCGAAGATTATATGGAAAGTTCTTCCGTCAAACTGGCCAAAAATGCGCTCCAATGTTACCAGTGCAAGGTTTGCTCGGAAGGCATTTTTGCCCCAGTTAGCATAAGACTTTAAACCGTAGGGCACCAGGACTCTTAAACCTTTTTCGACTTGGGATACTACTAGAGAGGAGATTCCCAAGTTGTAACTAAAGTCTGCGACGTGTCTCAGATGGAATACTTTACACTTTGAAGTGTTAAAGATAAGTCCGTTATCGTCTTCCCAACTTTGGAGTCGAGTCAGATCCTCCCGAAGTGCCTGTATATCGTCATGGTTGCGTATCTCTCTCCAAAGTTTCACGTCATCGGCGAAAAGTAATAAGTCTGACGTTGCCTGTTGAGGAAGATCATTTATGTAGATCAAGAAGAGAAGAGGTTCTAGTACTGAACCCTGGGGGACCACACTAGGACATTCCATAGCCTGAGATAAAGTGAAATTAACCTTGACCTTAAAATGTCGATTTTTCAGGTATGAAGTAAGCCAATCGATTAGAAGTGGTCTGATACCCAGTCGTTTGAGCTTATTGATAAGACATGTCAGTCTAACCTCATCGAAAGCTTTTGAGAAATCTAGGTAGATTATGTCAACCTTCCCCTTGTGATCGAGGATGCTTGTCCATCTGTCCACCGCAGTCAGCAGGTTGGTTATACAAGAGTAACCATTCCTGAAACCTGTTGGGCTGAGAGGAAATTTAAGGACGGTAGATAGTCATTTAAACCATCTCATATCAAGGACTCCATGATTTTCGAAGGTATTGAGAGAAGAGCCACTGGTCGGTAACTTGAAGGTTCGCTGCGTCGACCTCCTTTGAAAATTGGTGTGATGTGAGCCAACTTTCAGTTTTCCGGTAGTTTAGCTTAGCATGTGTGAGAACATCACACTAAGCGGCGTTGCCAGGATTTAGGCTGCTTCCTTCAGTCTGGCAGAATGAACCATATCCGGCCCAGGAGACGTGTCAATTCTTAAGTGCTGCAGTTTCCGGAACACCAAGTCAGATCTCAGGTTCACTTCGGAAAGTCCTTTGGGGTTGCAGATGAAGCTTTCATCAGCATAGTTGATGTGGGTCGGTTGGAATGTCCGAGAGTATTGTTCAGCCAAAAGGTTAGCGGCGTCGCCGTCGTCGTTGGTCGGGCCATTAAGACCTTGCAGTTGGGAAACTCCGGTGTTGGCTCGACGAAGAGAGGCTGAATAACGGAATAAGCTTTTCGGATTAGAGACAAATTTGTCCCTAAGCTTTATCTGGTACTGAAGCTTGTCTTCTCGTATAGCCTTCGTGCATATGTTCCCTATATGTTTATATTGCCTGTACGCCCTGTCGTTGTCAGTTCATTTGTAACCTGCCCAACAGTGCCTTTTGCGGCTAAGCAGGCGAAAAGTGTGGTTCCTGATGATTGTGGGTTGTTGATAGCTATGGAGTACCGTTTGAGGAGCTGAATAATTTGTAGCACATAAGAGCGTGTGCAATAAGAAGTCCCAATGAGCATCCACATCGAGTTGAGGCTGAACATCTCAATCCACCTGTTGTAGGTAGTCCTGTAGAGCTGACACATTCAACCGTTTGAAATTCTAGCCCAATTTGTTGGTGGGATGTCTCAGCTCAGTTTTGCTGACGAAACTGAAAGCCATAGCGGCGTGATCGCCTTTTCACAGGGGAGCCAAGACTGAGAGGTTGTCAACTAGGAATTATTCGTTTGTAAATACACAGTCTAAGCGCGATGGTGTCTGACTGTTTCTCCAACGAGTTGCCGACTTCACATTTTTGTAAAATCCCAAATTCTCAATGAGGTTGAATAACCGAGCTTCAATTGAGTTTCCACCTCCAATATATGCGAAGTTGACTCTAGGGAGATTGAAGTCCTCTAAATTCAGTATATGAGTGAAACCGAGATGAGTAGAGCGGGATAGTCCTTCCAGCATACGACTGTAATACTCCATGTCGGCAGTGGGCTTCCTATATATGACTCCGACTAGACACCTCGAAGTAGTAGACAATCTTACAGACCCAATATACAATGATGTAGACACAACCTTGTGTAAACCGACTGACTTCTTTGTACTCGCTTCTGATTGCTTCGGTACGGACTCAAGTATTTGATGATGAATAATAAGTAGTAGCCTAGACACTTGACGGCACCAGTTTGGGTCATTTTGGAAGATGTTTGTAGATATCTTGTATATCTTGTAGTTTGAGTGAATGTCTTAGAACAGTAGCGTTTCATAATAACGGCAGCCATCATATCATCAGGCAGGATGTTATGTAATTGCAGTATGGAAAAGATAAAGTGATCATTGGAGTGCTGAAACGTTAGTGTTCCAAGAAATTGTAGTGACCTAGTTTTATCAAGAGATTTAATTGAAACAATTATTATTATAACCAATTGTATTAGTGATTGTTTTACTGTGCTCGTTTGTTTAACTGTGCTAAAGACAGCCATATTGCTCTTCCATTATTCTCCATTACTGTTTCGCGGTTCGTGAGTCC